TTTGGTTACTCTATGCGTCCATCTATTACAGTTCATTTAATCACTATAAAATCACGATAGTTGCAGATGTACATCTTAATTTAATCCTAGCAGAGTTTTAAAACTATTTACTTTATAGAAAAGTTCACATGGGTACAAAGCTATATAACTATTTGCTGTACTAAGCTATGTAAATACTGAATACATTTGAAAGTTACCACAAAGCTTTTAAGTTAGAAGTCTTACAGTATACTATAGTTTAAATAGCGTTTCTTTTATTACTTAAGAAATTTATCTGAATGACGTCCAAATGTACAAATAGTTTAAATGTTTCTAAAGTTTTGTACTATACTGTTATTGTTATTGTTGTATGAATCTTGATCAAAGTATATAGTTAAGTTAATTAATTAATTTGTCACCCAAAATGTGCCCATCAGATGATGCACGACTTATTAAATATTTTAAACTATACTATGACGGCAAATGACATCTTATTAATGTAATGAAAATAGTGGCATTTGGAGATCCTGTTATTTAAGTGTTTCGCTGAAGGAAAAGTGTAAATATTTGATAGATCCAATCGGAAAAACAATCTTCAACTAGGGTTGTCCAAGTCACTTACACAAAATGAAACCTGCGTGTAGGTAATTCAATTCAGCGGAATACGCAAGTTGTGCGATTCGTTCGCAGCTCAGAGCTCGTGTACAAACTCATTTAATCGTATTGCGACGTTGGAATATTGCTCTTTTGTTATTGCAGTATGTACGTCTATAACTGCTAGAATATAACTAAAGGAATTTCTAGTTCTCTCTGTCAGTAGGTATCCCAAGTCTATAGGGTCGAATTACGTTTTTGTACTCAAAATCTATCATTCGTCATTTCAATCATTACCTCCTTTTTAATTAAGTAATATTTCAAACAAACTGACCACTTCTTTCGACGTATCCCTCCACATTTTTAAATTGTTCTTGTACTCGTATATGCAATTCATTCCTCTTCATAATAAGCCTATATTACGTTGACCTTTTACCTTTTCATTTCTCTATCAGTAATACGATTAAAAGAAAATATTTTTATAAACTGCATAGTGAAATGTAGAAAGTTTAACAAATGTTGCTTGCTAAGAAATGGGGGCTTATCTACGAATGCATATTTGTTAAATGTTTTTGTAGTTATTCTTCTGAATGTTTTATTTATAACTGTTAACAATTTAAATGTCGTTACAGAGTTTTTAAATTTACATTTATATTGTGCTGTTTACTTATATTATTATGTAACTTATACTCGACGAATAATGGATGAATTTATTGTACCATTTCCTCAAAGGCCGGCAACGCATCTGTATTTCCGCTAGTTTTATGGACGTCTATGGCAATCGTTGATCACTTCGGTGTTCCCACTTCTCGTTTTCCCCCTAATGTATTTGCGTTACTTTAACGAAACCAAAATTTTAAACCCGTTAAATAAATGTATTTCTGTCCCCAAGTCTGTCTGACATGTGTGGAAGATGGTCTTTTATCTGTTTATAGCAATTTAGGACATTCTTGAACTACGTTTACGTTACAGGCAATGTCTAAAGCCTGTAAAGTCTAAACCTTTAGAGAAATCTTATGTATTAGATGATGTTTAAAGTATATTATTTACATTTATTGTTAACTTCACAACGAAAACATTAAATAACCATTACAGATGTATATCGCTGTGGAGTTTTAAAAATTTAGTTAATGGCCATGCTTGGTGTTTAATGTCGCTGTTTAAACGCTCTAGTTGAAACTTGTTCGTATCACTGACTCATGCGGATATTCCAACTTACTAGTGAAATACCAGTTAAATTAATTCAGAATATTTTGTTTACTCTCAAGAATATAAAACAAGTGCGTATTTATATGTAGGTACTGTAAGTAAAATTATTTAGATTTAATATGAAACTCTTAGTTGTCAAGGAATATATATCCATTGATATTTAATCTAATGCTTTATTAATATTTAGATGACATATTTTATATCTTAAATCGAAGCACGTAGCTTTGAAAGATTCAAACATTTTATAATTAAATTGATATTTTATCGTAATAATTATCAAAAAATTGTCAGCCCCAGTTTGAGAGTAAGGTGGCTTAATATCAGACAATTTTTGTAAATAAAGCGTCGTTCGTGGGGACGCATTTGGCTGGATATTGTCGCGAATATTTCATCTCGATACTGCTAACAGAACTGAGTGTAAGGAAAGTAAAATTATTTCTTCTTAGAAGGTTGTTTATTAGAAATTTCATATATATACACTTATAAAGGTAGTGCTTAATAGAGAAAGAATAACTTCGTGATTTCTCCAGAGTTATATTATTGTAGAGCTGGATTATCTCTCGTCTTTTTGTCATTTCGTCAAAAAACTCTACTCCTAGCGCCCCCTGTATTGAATTCTGTTGCTTAGAGCGACGTCTACAATACATCACATTCTAGACTCAGACTATAATAGCGAAAACAAAGAATATTTTATCTAAAATTTTGTAACAAGGTAACTTTGCCCCTGTACGAGCAACACAACGGGCGAAAGCGAATATAATGAATGTGATTATATGCAAAATGCAGTGAGTAAATATGAGATTTGTATGGAGCGTAGGCATTAACGGCGCGTGCCGGCAGCGAGTAATTTCCGCTATCTGGCGGTCGCGCAGGAGCTTCGTTAAAATGCAGCGCACCGGATGCGAACGCCAATGCGCCCTAACACGACACATGAGCGAAAAAAATACTCCGCCATTCAGCGCATTTTAATTTTAAAACCCCGTTGCTTCGTTTGCGCTCCGATTTTTTTTACTCTCTTCTCCCACTCACTCCGTCACTTTATTCTCTTTGCATTCACATGCCTCAGTCGTGGCGCAAGCGGGACTAAACTAATATGCCGTTATTTAATTTTTTAAAAAGGATCCCTGTTATTTCGTCTGCACTTTTTTGATGTTAACATATTTTTTGGCGCGCTTTTGTTCTGTTTACAGAGTAGATGTTACAACTTTTTAATTACGCTAAAATGTTTTCGGAGCAAATAAATGTCTAGTCGCCACTACGGATGTCATGTTGAACACCATTCACTATGATAAAAATATTATGTTGTCTGTCGTTTTTACTAAACTAAATATTTTAACTTATTAACTTTAAATCAAATTGATCAGATCAATACATACAACTTGTGCAAATATTTTAAATGATGCTATGTACATTTGTATGATAATCCTACCCCAAGACTAGTAGCACACTCGTTTAAATTAATTAATCCTTCTTCCACTAACATTAATTGCACCCTCTTAGTTTTACGATTATGTACTTATGTATCCGTTCACCCTTGCGTTCACCTCTTTGTTCTTAACTCCCTGAGACTAGGTAGTTGAAGTATTTATAATATAGATTTTTCTTAACAACGCAATGTAATTTAGAAGGAGTAGGGATGGAAAAAACAATATTACATTAAACCCATAATAGTCTGAAGAATACTCCAGTCAAATGACATACCGTTTTATAAAATCGGTATATCAGATTAGATGTCAGCAGATCACAATAATTGAACAGACATAAGCGAAAAACGGTACAGTCAGCTAAAAAATTAGTTGTAATAAATCTAACTTCACGCAGCGCTCTCTTGGACGTTAGGTACATACTTAAGAAGCGCCTGTCCATTATTTTTCTTTCCCCATCCCGCTAACTCGAGCCGCAAACTTGGACTTTGTCATGAATAATTTAAGCCGTCCGCGATATTATGCGAAATATCACAACTCTGCAAGACGCGGACAGTCTAGGAAAAACGTATGTCGTTTGTTTAATGAACGGTACATCTTGTACAGTTAGAATTAATAGGCTATTTGTAGAGACAGTCACAAGCTTGATATTAACTATGATTCGAATCCTGAATTACAAACTCACGAATATATACTTCTATACTAATACTAGCTTTCGCCCGCGACTTCGCTCGCGCGAGATTAAAAAAAGCTGAGTAGCCTGATGTTCTTCAAGATTATCTTCTACATCTATGCCAAATTTCTTCGAAATCCGTTCAGCCGTTTAAGCTACAAACTCTAACAAACATTCATCCATCCGTCTAAACATTCACATTTATAATATTAGTAAGATTGATGATTTGATTTTTTTGTATGTATTCTAATAACTCAAAAACTACTGGACCGATTTAAATTTTTTTGCACTATTATAAAGCTATATTATCACTGAGTAGCATAGGCTATATTTTTACTATTTCTTTGATATCACTCGGGCGAAGTGGCGAGCAACATCTATAGTAGTGTCATAACCACAATACTTCTATAGTATCAATCGGCGACATACAAAGAGGTACACGTGTTTTATTATAGAGTGTCACACTATATTGTTTGTGCTAATACTGAACGTATTTCAGAAATCGAAATACAAATGACAGGTTTTGTAGAACAGCTTGTCTTGGCTTTTACAAAACGATAAAATACTGGTGTTTTGTGAAATGTGTGAATTATAGGCCGGCTGGACGCAATATCCCCTTTAAAACATATGATAGAGGACAAAAGCTACAGCAAATGTAAATCTTGGATCAACAATAAACCTATGTACATTAATGTTTGCACTTTGCCCTTATTTGTGATAGAACTGAGCCAAAAATATGGGAATTTGTCTGTGGAAATGACATGAATTGCTTTAAAGGTTATGTTGTTTGTGATTCAAATATAACGGCATTAATTCTATTAATAATGACTAATCTAAATTATTTGAAACTAGAGGAAGTTAAGCGTATTAATCAACTTATTATTTTATTATTTTGTGTGTGTTAGAAATAATTACTAATCAACCTAATTACCGTACAACGAGCAATCATTATTTTTAGTTAATAGTCATTTATTAACTAAATAAATATAATGTATTTGTTACTTTTAATCTATGAGGAAAAGGAAAAGAGAAAAACAAAACTTTGCAGGAAAAATAAAACGATTTTAATTAAAAAAATAACTAAAATAGTTATAATGTTTTATAAATGTTTTCGTTTTCAGGTCACGTGGGTGGATGCGGTATCACAGACGAAGTGGTGCAATGGATGGACCGCATACAGAATTCTGGGGTCGATGACGACCCGCCGACCTCGCCCGCACCCTCGCAACCACAGCCGTCTCACACACCGCCTCATCCCAACAGCCTACGAGACGATTCACCGAGGTATGTTTCATTCAAAAGGGGCGGCATGTACTAATTCAATACTTCCTATAATTGTCATATCTAAAGTCACTCTCTTATTACACATATCTCTTCACACAATGCATTCTTTCATCGGTCTTCCTACCCGTGTGGGCTTATCACATCTAATACGGTCGACTCATGGGTCAATTCATTAAATGAAAGTACCTATAAAATTTATACATTTTCTATAAGGCATTGTAATGCAAATGCGACGTTATCCCTATGGATTGGTAGTTACCACATCGTTATCGATAACTGGATCTCTGGTTACTTTTCTAAGTCACACAGCTGTGAAATGCAGAGATAGATTTGCTCTAATTCAGAGTTCTAATAAGAACACACAGTCGCACATTTGCGTTTGTTATACCAATCTTAGATTTTTCCAACTACAATGTACCAGGATATCATAGAGAAAAGGGTTTAACTGAAGTGCCGCATTACATAATTCTTACATTATTTTTTTCCTTCCGTACCTATTAGAAATGTTGAGACCTAGCAGTGGTTACTTAAGCTCTGCTCCCCTAGTACTTTTATCTTCTACTATAAGTAGTATTCCTATTATTTCTAGGCATTGGGAGCATCACAACAAATATTCGAGAGCAGCTAACACTGGCGAGCACACACGCAAGCGGCGAGCTGCGAACGACAACAGGAACACGTGCTCACTCTTCATAGAGACAGACCCGCTCATCTGGCGGCACGTCAGGGAAGGATTCCCCGATGTGAGTCTATTTTAACACGCATTTTACCTTTGACTCTATACTTGGAACTGAATTGTGTAATGGTATCTTAGAAAACTATTCTACGTTCAAGACATCAGATTGTTTAGTATTACACAAGACTGATGTTCCAATAGTTTAACAAATATGTGGCAATATCCTCCACGTGAACAATTTCGTATTGAATAGATCTCAGCTTGTGTTAAATGTAGACACGGTTTATGATCGTACGTGAAAGTTATTGCTCGATGCGCTAAGTTGTGACGTTGTTGCCAACTAGCTTACAAAGTCTGCAGGCTTACACTTCGAAAGCACGCCTCCTATTTGATAAGTATTTTAGATAAAGCTTTCAGTAATATGATGGAAATTTCGTTCAATGCTTAACTTTTGTTAGATTACTCAATTACATCCAAAGCTAAGACTTAAAGAAACTCGTGATATATAAATTCAAACTATCGCTGAGACTGGTTTTTAAGTTAACATTAAAAAATAGACGCTCTAAGTTTTCTTATCAAAGTCTTAACTTTAGTGAAACTAGACTTGATTAAAATTGCACCGTCTAGCTATATATTTCTCTTATTCAATTGTAACTAAATACAATTTCTTAAGAAATATCAAGTTGGGAGATAAACGACTAGTATAGATAAATACATTAAAATAATAAGCATATATTATAGGACACAAAGTTCTCGTAATTTGTTTTTCAAATCCTTGTAACTCCATTAGATCAGAAGTGAAAATGATAAATGACCCGTAAACAAACGAGCTAGTAATCAAATTAGACTCGCAATATTATAATGTGGACAAGGCCGGAGGAAATCGATTAAGCTTATCTTTATTCGCTACTTGCGTAACCATTATAATATGCGACAATAAATTAAAAATTAAGTAAAAAAAACCCAAATGCCATTGTTGTCTCGGTTTTCCAAAGATTTTTCATAGTTTAAAATGGCAAATTAGCAAGCCACCTTCGTCAAAATAGCGTATTCACCGATGCCTATGGACATCTGCATTTGCAGATGCGTTGAGGCCTTTAATAGGAACAGGACGTGACGCACAGAAAGATAATATATCCCCTTCCTATGCGTAGAAACCCGCGGTAATGTTTTTTCTTATCGCGTTTTATTGTTTTCCCCATACTAATGTAGACCACAAATTGTTAAATGATAAAGGAACTTACAAGATATTACTTTATCTATTCGAAATGTTTAAAACTTGAATAATACTGCACTTTCTGTATTAACTATTTGAATATAAAACTAGAGGCGTATGCTATGTCGCTTTAAGACTAAAGTTCTTAGCTTCCTCGGTATATCATCCCGTTCCAAGAAATTATTTAACTTCTCGCTTTATGCTTGCATTTCTCTTGGAACTTGCTTCTTTATAAAGTAAAATACCGTTGAATTTAATTCAACTGCAAATCGAATAATCATGTCGCAATTTTCTCTAAACTGTGACGAAATGACGGCTGGTAATTTCTCAACATTATGCAATCGTGATGACGTCTAGAATTTTATAAATGCTTTTTCACTTTTCATTAATTTTCGCTCGACGCTTTAATGAATAAATACTTTGCAACAACAATGATAAAACTGCAACAATTTGTGCAAACTCTTTAAAATATGTTACATTATTTCTTTAGAAAATTCCCGTAAACATAAAACGCGCGCATAAACAGCGCAGGTAACGAGCTATGGAACGTTCTTTGTGTAAACGTCGGTAACGTTTTGTTATTTTTGTAAAAAAAAAGTAAACTCTTATTATTGGTCAACTAAAAAAAAATAGTTTTGAATAGTTTATTAATGCCTTGTTAAATTGTTGTTAATTCATTACTAGATATTGTAATTATTTACACATGTCCCGATGTAGCCTTTATTGCAACACATGGAATATTAAAATTATTATTTGATTATTGGCAATTATAAGCAAGATATAGTCTTAACATATTTTGTAACTTTTTAATTTTATTTTTCAGCATCGAGATAGAAGTAAAAAGAGCGAAGTTGACATGAAGACGCGGGAAGAGATCCTGTCACTAATATCGCATCACGTGGAGGCCGTCAACTACATATATAGAGATACGAAGTTCGACGGCCGCTTGCAGCACAGAAATATCAAATTTGAAGTACAACGAATTAAGGCAAGAAACCCTTGTAATGATATATACGAAAAAGTTAATCACCAATAAATTGCTAGATACCTAACAGAGTATTTAACAAAACTATAACTGCTTCGTGCCTGTCACGAGATGAGAAACAAGATTGTGGTTGAAATAAATATAAATTGTAAACCCATAGAAGGAATAGCAATCTTGGTAAAGTAAAATACTTAAAGGAAAAGGACTTGTCTATATTTCCATGTTATTCATTCTACAGATCGACGACGACTCGATGTGCAGTCCGCACCACTTTGGCGCAGAGAATAACCAGTTCTGCCAGGAGAATATCGATGTCTCCAACTTCCTTAATCTACACTCGCTCGGCAACCACGAGGACTTCTGCCTAGCTTACGTCTTCACCTACAGAGACTTCACAGGAGGCACGCTAGGTATACTAAAACTTGATTATTGTTTAGAACACTTTATCTATGACGAGCTATTCCCGTGCGGCTTCATACGCATGGAATTATAAAAACTCTATTTTATTATTTGCAATTGTCAAATTCTCAAATGCAAATGTCAAAATTCAAATGCACAAATGGCAACGAAGACTATTGACATTTGATAACAATTACCATTACCATGGCAACGGTGCTTCCTTGATGTTGTCAGCTTGTAGTTTATGGTCCCATATGAAAGTTTTCTCCAATTAATTACCCCTTGAGTTTAAAAGCGTGAAAATATATAGCATAGACATGTAGTAAGTGTATGACTTTTTATTAAAAAGAGAATTATTCAAAAATAGACTGACATGCTACGCTACGCAGTAGTGTATGTTAACACTTTATTATATTAGTATAGATTTTGTTCAAGCAAATATCAAATCATATGTCAGGTCTGGCGTGGGTGGCGAGTGCCAGTGGTGCTTCGGGCGGTATCTGCGAGAAATACAAGACGTACACGGAGACGAACGGCGGCATGTACCAGAGCACCAAGCGCTCGCTCAACACCGGCATCATCACATTCGTCAATTACAACAGCCGCGTGCCGCCGAAAGTCAGCCAGCTCACACTAGCCCATGAGATCGGACACAACTTTGGATCACCGGTACGTATTGTTAAGAGAACAATCGGAACTGGAGGATTGGCGCAACACTAGATTTTAAGCATTTACGCCCATCCCTATTTGACAGCTGTCAATGTCATTCAGGATTATTAGAAAATCGCGCTATTCTGGAGGGAGGCAGTGGTCTGAGTGCTTAAGTTAATTATGTGTGACTTAGTGGCGAATATTTTGAAGGGATTTACGCTAAATTTTGTATCGTAATCGATAAAGTATGAAATTGTATCCAATCTGACTTAACTAAGAAACTTGTGAGCATAAACTACATTTTACTGTGTACTTTGACAACCAACAGCCTACTAGACTAGACATTTTGGCGCGGAATGTTAAAAGACTATATTTATGATAGCTTATGTATTCCTCGAGACTATGCTTTACATCTATTTTAAATTCCATCGAGATACTTTAAGCCGTTCTGGATATATTTAGTAACATCCATCCATCCACCTAATCTTACGCATTTATATTATTAGTAATATCTTAATTTCCCTTCAGAAGTGACTGTAAGTCGTAACAGTTCAAAAGTCGTAATTACCGCATACTTAAATTTTTACGCTTGTTTAGGTACACCAATACGTATCATAATGGTAATAAAATTACTAACCTAATGATTTAGGCAATGTTTTATCCGTATTTTAAATTCTGTCTAAGATGATGAGATTGTGTGTTCGTGACAGCACGACTACCCGTCGGAGTGTCGGCCGGGCGGGCAGGCGGGCAACTACATAATGTTCG